TGCTCTCCCACTGTCAGAGAAAATGCGTGGTGTTCGTGCTCTACGCCAATCGAGCTGTGAGCTTATAACCCGTAGACCTGCTGTCTCCCATGGCTAGGTTTTACGGGAAGTGGGCCATCGACCACTTCCTAACCTCCGAAGAGGATGGACTAGGATACTGACAGGGCGCCCACTCCTGACAGGAGAACGACTCGGGTCCTCAGCCAAAGCCTTCGATTAAATGAACACCCGAAAGGCATCGGCTCTAGCACATGGTCAGTTCACTGACTCATGCGGATTGGTGTCCTGGATCTTAGCAGGAAGAAGAGCGTAACCCAACTCCCACTTACCGGTCGCCACGAGGCGTCCAGAACATGAGCCCATGGCACAACCGTAGCAGCAGTGGGTAGAACATCTGTCAGGATGTAGCCACCACCAGCGTCAGCGCACCATAGGCTCTCCCGCCCCCATGGTTGGCGGCATCCGGTTTCGGATTTGCCTGTCACTGTGGTCAGCCACAGAACGCCTGCGCCTACAAAGGGACCATGGGTAGCTTGCGCTGCACCACGCACACACCCCATATCCAGTGTAAACCCGAAGGAATAAGACCGGGAGGCATGTGGATGGAAGCCACGTTTCATCAACGCAGCCGGCCCACACTCCTTCACAGGCAAACAAAAGCACGCTGTACTTGGGAATCAATCGCACACCAGGCGGTGGTTGGACCGTAGTCCGCTCCATACTGAGTGCATGAAACCACTCTTCGAGCCTAGCACGACCACAAGGACCGTGCATCCCATCCCCTCCAGCAACGACCAACTGCCTCCAGGAGCCAGTGTGGACGAAGTATTGGGTCATAGACAGGTAGGCACCTTGTCAACATGCGCATCAGGCATAGCCATACCGGGGATATCAAGCAAAAGCCAACCACTTGAAATAACACTATCAAAAAAGTATATCTTTTAAAGCATACGGTTAAATGAGCATATGAAGTAAGCTGGTTATCAACGAATAAGTGACAAGTACAAGATGTCCACAAGTTACTCGAAAAATACTACAAACGCAAGCAAGTTGTCGAAGACAAGCGCAATTAGCGTAAGAAACGTGTGCAAGTTAATAGAAGATTATCCAGGTAGGTAGAATAAACTAATTAAAATGAAATGAAATTTATCCAGCTTAAAAAGATCTAGTTTAAGTGTAAGTTTGTTTAGCCCAACTGCGGTGGAGAAGCATCATGAATACAACATCACGCTCAGCATATATACATGGGCTTGTATGAGTATCACCTAGCATTGTACAATGGGTCACGGAAATAGGCAAACAATTGCATTACGTCAAGGTCTAATCTCATCAAGCAACACTAGAAACGCTGCGTTTTCCTCAATATGGTGCCTTGTTTTTGTTAGAAAATGCTGTACCAGGACAAGTGCTTCGATCTCCCTCGCACTACGTTCGGTCCCTTCAAATTTCGCCAACTCCAGAAAAAATACTGAAGGATAGGGATTGCTAACATTATTGTCCATCCGGTAAGCATGCATGAAGGAAGCCAAGAAACTAGATGAACTGAATGTTGATAACCAACCCGAAGTACTCTTCCAAGACCAAAAAATTCAGCTGTTGTGAGGATACATCTTCGGGACCAGCTACTGTGATCGCAGCCGGGCTTTTCGAAAGGAACTACCTTATGTGCAAACAACGCTGCTTAGGTCGAACATACGTTCTGTGTTAGTGCATTTTTGGAACTATATTGCTGGCTGTGACTATGTCCAACCGGAAACGCACTGTTCCAGTACGAAGCAACGGACTCGCGTAGATGTACTTCTTTGTTCCATTCTTTGTCATATTGACAATTGGATGTCTTGAGTCTGACGACGACTCTTCATAGGCAAATGCGTTTAACTTGACCGATTAGCAGCACTGTGCAAAATGATTCCTTTTCCCACAGTTCACACAATTCCGGCCGCATGCTGGACATCGTTAGTGACTCCTCGGGTACCGCGTCGGATAGAAATTGCAAAGTTCTCCCATCGTGGTACAGAAAATCTCAGTCTTGCAATTACAACTTTATAGTGCATAAAAATCTGTTAGTTGATAGCCACATTTTGTAGGGCCGTAAAAACAGAGTTCACCGCACGGGATAGTATGTGTTGACCAAACGTCAAGTCATACGAAACAGGGAAGAGTTAGTATCATAAATTACAGTAGGAGAGCGTGTATCAGACGAGCTGCGTAACATAATCGGCGACTTCGTACACATGGACTACAGCGGAACAGTGAGACTCACGGCTAGAGCCGAGTAACGGCCCTGTACATTTGGCGGTATGCGTCTGGGGATTCATTGTTGCATATGTTGATTCATTGCCCGAGCGACAGATCTCGTTTTCGCAACACCCAGTTAGTGGAGTTTCATCATTAGTTCCGAGTATTCTGTCTCACATAAAACGGTCTATTATTCAGTCGCAAGAATTGCAAGAACGGCCAAAAATCACCAAGCCGGTAAGATAAGTCGAGAACGGGACTTTTGAGAGTGTACTTCGAGAGAAAAACTGAAAGCATTGGTATGTTTCGTTCGCTTGATTACCAAAAAGTTCCTCGAACTTTGATGATCGTCTCCAGGTAGTTCGAGTCTTGTCTAATACACGGCGAGTGCCATCTCCTAGTTGGAGCCGAAGCATCAAGCAGTATGTAATCGCTAGTACGTTCAAGCGAACCGGTACACAGGGATTCAGTCATTTGACTTTCCAACTTTCCATCTGCTGAATAAGTTGATTCCACCTATGTGTAGTACTGGTGGTTGAACAGCCGGACGAGCTTCAATCATCAAAAGAGCACCGATCGCTGAGTCTATATTAGGTTCCTCTGACATCATGTCGCAAAAGTCGGTTCTTCAAGAACAAAAGGTTCACTCGGCGAAAATAACAGCACGTTCGATCAGCAGAACGCCTCGATATACATCGTCCATACGCTTTCACAAACGGTATTTGGGCGCCGATGAGGTACCGTAGTTGGCGCAGTTAAACAAACAAAAGGAAACTCACCGTGGCTCACACGAGTTCCGGCCCACCAGCAGAGCCGTCTAGATGGGAAACGACGCTTGTTGCGTTTGATGATCGTCTCTCATTGGCTGTATTTTGTTTCGTGTGCACATCTGCTCATTCTGGTAGGACATTCCCATCATAAGGTGTGCATCCTTCAGCCAAAGGTGCAAAACACCATGTTATGAAGGAATCTTGTCAGGAACAAGAAACGAACTTGATAAAAATGCATCCATTTGTAGCCATGTTGTTTTAACAGTCTATATCGATGTGTTTTGCCAGCCGAAAAGAGTTGCAGTTGAATGGTTTCCATGATGACCAAGTAATGGCGTGGGAAAAATGTTAAGAAGTTTCATCAACTCTCTCGTTATGTCCGCTGTCTCTCGATTTAAGGGAAAGGGATTGACCAAGCAAGCAATTGCATGAGGATGATAGCTAGACGAATGATGATCTAAGAATAGATGATCAACCGATATAGTGGTTGTGCATGTTAGAAATTTAAGTGATATGCCATAAAGTGACAGAAACAATCACTGATATCGCGCAAACATGAGAAGTGGCTATCAAAACTCAAGACGCTAAACAACTGTCTGCGCTGAAGCACAGTTCAGTTCGTTGAACGACTGTGGTCCAGGATCCGAGGTGTGATGAATCCAGTTGTAACGACTCATCGCCAGAATAAGAATAAATAACAATGACAAGAAAACGAAGTTGAAGGCAAAGGAAATGTAATTAAGAATGATGTGCGTTCAACTAATTAGGATGAGATTAAAACTAACAGCCAGATGCGAGAAACCGAATGCAGGTACGCCACCGACTGCGCTGTCTTAAAGGGTTTTCAACCATTGGTGTGCACTATCCCAGAGCCCCCACTCACCAAGAGGGCATGCCATAAACCAACCTCAGCATTGCTCACCTAGTGTTTTCACCAGACGTGAGCAGTACTCCGCAAGCATGGGTGGTCAAATACGGCCAAAGGTTTAATGCCTTCACTGCGAAGTGGTCAGGTCTCTGACCCATAGGATAACACCGGCCAAGTCGCAGTATTATACACCTTACAGTTCCCTGACAGGATGATATTCCACCGCCTCCATAGATGGTAGGGATTCTGAAAAGCCACAAGTGCTTCGCTGATACTCGAAGTAACCTACTCAGGGACGTGACTACCAGTGATATAGATAGGAACATAAATGAACCGATCCACTACTACCAATGGCTGCCCAGTGAGACCCAGGACCGGTGGCAAATCGGTCCAGTCCTGCAACAGTACTTAATACTTTGAAACGTGCAGCGCTACACACCAGACTATCTAATAGTTTGCAAAGCCATTGCGTAAAAACCAAGGAGAGCTGTGCTGACCGCGTATTCAAGGCTTGTCAGTCGGTCACCTGCAAAAGTTCCACTACGGTAGAGTCTGAAAGAATCGAATCATAAATGGTCAGTAAGATGCCAATGTCAAAGATGAAAGGGGAGATTTGTGCTGAGTCTAAGTGCGCATAAAGCCAAGCTAAAAACAAAAGGGGTTTTTTGGTAAAAAGTTTTCCTTTTCCATGCTGGACAAACTGGTATATCCCCACGACAAACGCCGGTTGAGCTAAATATTTCCTGCTTTAACAGCCTACGTTGATACCTTTCGTCAACCGAAAAGACTTGCGGTTGGGCGGTTTCCATGTTGACCAGGTAGTGACGTCGGAAAAATATCAAGTAGTTTCATTAACTCTCTCCTTGATGTCCATTGTCTCTCGGTTTAAGAGAAAGGGATTGATGAAACAGGCATTTGCATGAGGATGATGGCTAGACGAATGATGATCTGTGAATAGATGATCAACATTTTGGACTCCGGTTATTGCCACACCTTTGGTATGTGATAATGGCACCTATTCGAGAAGGTAAAGCGACAGATAAGCAACGAAACGACGTTAATACACTAATAAGTGTGACGAAGTTAACGGTTATAAAAAGAATAGATATTCCACTGAAACTGACCTGTAAACCAATATACTTCCGAGACCGGTGGTAAGAAGAAAGATATCTGTGTTTGGTTTCCAAGCGAACTCGTTGATTTCAAAATTGAATTGTTCTGATTGAAGCGTTTTCAACCCTGTTCGAACATCCAACCATGAAATCTAACAGAAAAACATGGCAGGTAACGTTAAATAATCACCCCGAAGAGATTGGAAGCTAACAAGATGTGGATTTACTAGGCTTGAAAAATGTCCCGTTCAAGCAAACCATCGCACCACGGTCGCGATGGTCTAAGTCAATGTCCAACCTAGCGAAAAACCTCAGTTCACCCATTTCTATTTGGAACTCCCGATTCTCGCTAAGGCTAGCATGCCTCAACATGCATACTGGACTACCGAGTAGACAACAGTTGCCCGAACAGTGGAGACCCTATCAATCGATATCTGCCGTTTATCGGAAACTCACAAGCAGGTTTCGAAGCGTGTGCTCATCCTGCGACCCCCCACCCCCATATGTGGTGCTAGTAGCAGATTTTCTTTGTATTTGTCTGGAGAGCACGCGACTTCAAATGCACTGAGTACCCGGCCCGAAGATGACTTGATCGAATGAATCCCAATGAACAGCCGGATGTGTGACGTCAGATTGCCTGGCTCGTTCAAAGCTTCGATGTCGTCCGGGCACAAACGGCACCGGTTTGTCATTGCTACCTACGCCCCATACACTGTAGCGTTGATTCGATGGAAGATGACTTCACTCACCAACTAAACGCGCTTCTTCGTTGCAGTAATACATATACTATGGTATGTTTGGTGATCTAAACGCCCAGGTTAGTAAACTGTCCACTGATGAGCTGCAACTTGGTTGTCAACACGGTGTAGGCTACCGTGAGGGTAACAGCGAGCCTATGCGAAGATACTGACATATATCGCGCGAGCACTAACTTCCGACACAGCACCCGCAGATGGGTGAAAGAGTGACCGCCAGCCTTAAAGTAGCCATGGACGCAAATTGATCACATCGTGACCAGTTACAGTAGGAGAGAAAGTGTTCGTAACTTCTGCTCAATTCGCAGCACAAACGTGAACTTCGAGCACGCGCTCACATGTGCCAATCTCTGTGTTCGGTTGGGAAGGACGCCCTCGAACACTCTGGGGGCGCATGGTTGGCGGCATCCGCCTCCGGATATGCCTGTCATTGCGGCCTCCTTAGGACAGTCACAGGACATCTGCGCCTACAGCGCGACCACGAGTGGCTTGCGCTGCAACACCTCATATCTGGAGTAAACCCGAAGGAATAAGACCGGGATGCATGTGGATGGGAGCCATGTTTCATCAATGGAACCGGCCCACACTCCTTTAAAATGCACAGCAGCAGCAGTCCTGTCTATCTATGTATGGAATCATGTGTACCAGACGTACACAATGCGGTGGTTGGGGCGTAGTCCGCTCCACACTGGATGCATGAAACCACTCTTTGAGCTTAGCACGGCCACGAGGACCGTGCACCCCGTACCGAGCAGCAACGATCCAGTCTCCTGGAGCCACCAATCGAGGTGCAGGGTGTTAGACAGGTTGGCACCTTGTCAACATACACTTCAAGCGCAACCACACCGGGGATATCAAACAACCAACGTAGAAGTTGAGGAAACGTAAACACACAAAACGGACACAGAATATGCAGCAGAATAACAGAATTGGACAAATTAAATAAAGTAGAATAACTTGTAACCGAATTAGGAAGATTTGATTTAAGTGTCAGTCGGTTTAGCCCGACTGCGGCGAAGAAGCATAATGCATGCAACATCAGTCTTAGCGCATGGATATCTACATACTGGCGAAGCCAGTCGTATATGGGTTGAATAAATGCCAACCGAACACAACTGAGGGTAATTAAGCACATATCCGCCAGACGTTATGAGCAGCAAGTATATCTTCATGTGGCACATCTGACTGCTAATCAAGACATTTGGTTACTACGCAGTCTCTGGAACTCCTCGATGCTCGCTGACGTGTGTCAGCTAGGAGCGAACACAACCAAACTCGCAAAGATCTAAGAGTGAAATTGCGTGTTTGTCTGAGGTAAGACGGCGAAGCCTGGTGGTCGCACAGTGCATCGGAGATGGAATTGGCTACTGCACTTGGTTATCATCGTAAGTTATTCCGTCTGATAGGAGAAACAGGTAGAAAGGGACCGGGTGTTAGTGAGACTATATGCGAGGAGATTGGACAACTTATCTATAGCCTGTCAAAACGCTTGGAGCGTTAAGTCAGGCACATGGAGAAGCAAGTCAACAGGTCGGAAGTAGCAGATTCGCTACCCGTGAGTGACCGCCTCGCTCCCTGGGCCCTTGTCTTGGATCCACTCTCACGCAGAAGTCGAAGGTCGGGTCAGACTGATGAAATTGAATAAGACCGCAGGGGCAGATAGATTACCTTCAGTCAACCACAAATCCGGAGGACCTGCTCCGTTGGATGATTTGCACAACTTCCTAGTGAAGATGCGAGAGCAGGTAACTGTTCTAACAGACTGCAGTCGCTCCGAATTTTCAAGGGCTAACGTTCGGAATGCGACGGAAGCATCAGTTTGATTGACCGACTAGCAACCGTGAAAGCCCGATTCGTGAGGAAGGAATGGGGTTTTGTCAACTGCTGAACTACAATGAACACATTTTCACATAATGCCAGTTGTTGGAACACCGCAATATGTACTGGTGACCCAACGTAGTCGTGTTCATTGGCAGCAAAAGTGCCTTCGATTCGGTGGGTGGAAATACCTACTCAGTAAAGTTGGACTCCAGAAATTCTTAAATAGCATAACAGTGCTACCGCTGGCTTCCAATATCTCCTGAGATGATGCCCGTTGTTGCATATACTTTGCACTTTCGTCGTCGTCGTCATCATCATCATCATCAGCAGCAGCATCATCGACAGCAATACATCAGCCGTTTGAACTAAGGCTTCGTTGTCATACAACTATGTTGACCAATGGAATAATGAATAACAGGAGGGTAGAGAGACTTACTTGAAAACCTAAATGCCCTAAACACATATTCAGGGTGCAGGCGCATACACCTTGTGTTAACAACATACCGTCACAAACAGCTATTGTGCAAAGATAAAGCGGCATCAGCGAGACATCCTCCTTGCAGCTTTCACTGCCCCGCGTAATAATCAGATATTATCCTGCAGATAATTCAGCACCAAACACACTTTAAACAAGCAGTCCGACTACGATGTGGCAGCAGACGCGCCACTGGTGTCGGCTGCGAGCCATCTCCTGTAAAGTCTCGAGCAAAGCACAAGGCGGTTCATGTGGACTCCAGCCCGGAAGACGAGACAGATCAACGGCCCCAAGTTTTGTACTTAGTGATTTCATTTCTTTCTGTAAAGTTAATTTTCCCCAGCTCGAGCATTGGCGCCATCCTACATATGGCAACCGAAACAATGCGCGCTTGGACAAGCGATGACTCGGCATACGTAGTATTCGCCCAAGCCAACGCAAGTTATTCAGTTTTATCCGTTGCTCTAATGAACTAGAATGAATACCAACGCCTAGCACAACATTGTTGTGGACACGCCGGTGCCACCTAATACAAACATTGCTCCGCAGACAAGGACGAGCAAAGACTTGACGACGCTTCAGATCTACGGAGCGATAGGGCCGTCTCACTCCCATAGAGTAGGACGATCTTCACTGTGGCTTTGTAAACATGTGAAACCCATCTCTGTCGCCAAAAAATTCCCAGATTCAAGTAGGCAGTTCTAACTTTTGCAATAAGTGAACTGACTTCAGTTGCTACGCGCCCATCGTTACCGATGCAATTGCCAGGGTAAGTGAAATGATCAACTACCTCGAATTCCTTGTTAGCAAGTATCAAGCGGTCGTCAATTGGCTGGTCGTCCTGCAAAAAGACTTTGCGCTTTGAATGTGCGAAGTGCATGCCAAATAATGGGACCACTCTGTAGGTTATTCAGGGTTAATTGTGCTGCCGCAACGTCGTCAAAAAATAAGAGGATATCGTCAGTATAATCAAGATCAACTAATATTTCATCAGGTAACACCTAAACACCTACAACGTGAAGCTCCGCAAGGACACGATAATATCGAGCAAAAATGGGAAACTGGAAAACCCTGACAAACGCCACTTGTTGTGGGAAAGATAACTGAGAAGTCACCGTAGACGCAAACACGGCCTGTCATATGCAATTATAGAGCACGTAAAGCGTTCACATATTTAATGGGAGTAGCATTCTGCGCGAATGCATCGACCACGTGAGTCGGACGCATTCTTGAAGTCGAGGAACCCAGCTATTTGCGGTCTGTGATATGCGTGACGCAGTTTTGGCACCTGTCGCAAAGTGAGCGTTAAGCTAATACTCCTGTGGTTAGCACAGTCAGTGTGACTGCAATTCTTGTAGATTGCCAGCACAATCGACTCATCATCATTATACACGTTAGCTACAGGTGGAAAACATCTCAGCTATTGTGCAATACAAAAGACAAGAAGAAAAAATACAGTGGCACGCGGGCTGAGTCCCCAGTAACGGATGGACATTGTTCCGGAGGGCTAATAACCGGCTATCGTGCCGCAAAAAGTTATTTTATGCCTAACGAATTCGATCGTGATTGGAGGGGGAGGCTAAACAGATGGGGATGAACAAAGGAACTCACAACACAAATGCCACTGGAGCCGGTTCCCAGCCGTCTCAGCAAGTGGGTCCAACCAAACGTGTTCATCGTCCTTAGGACCCCAGCAAGGCAGTCGGGATGCACCAACCGACGCCAACTTCGAAGTAAGGGTTTTCATCTCTCTCGACCAAGTCATCACTTGGCCTCCCCTCCTCCTCTTCCAACCACAACCCCGGCGCGCATACAATGCAAGTCGCGGAAGTCGGTGTGCTGGCATGCGCGACCCGTGGCCCAGTCACCGGAACCTGGGGCGTGATATAATGGTGCTGAGCGGTACACTCGCTCTTCCTGTACCAAATACGCGAAGCCGAACACGCTCATTGCACACGCGGTACTCGCACCAGACACGAGCTAAGCTGCAAAAGCAACGATGATCTAATGTGACGAGCCTCTATGTCTGTCGACCTGATGGGCCAGGTTTCACGACCATATATGAGAGTTCAAAGGAAGGTTGCGTTATAAACTCTGCCCT